TCATCTTAAACGATTTTTACATCCAATGGGAGCGATTATTTACTTGCTGCAGGCTAGTTATTATTTGTTGATTATGTTTGTTTTATAAAAGCCTATATACACAGTCTAACACTGTACAGTTCCACAAATTACGATAGCCTTTATTTTCAGCTTGGCTAATGTTTTCCCATTTCAAGCCATGTGTGATGGTCTTGAAGTTACGATGCACCCATATCATTGATATCGATGTTCATTGTCAAGTCTTACGGGTACGTAAAAAATGAAATAATTCAATGAAATAGTTTATATTCTTTATAGTTGTCAAACTGCTGCTTTATTAAGATTTTAAATGTAGGAAATATATCGTACTACAAAATGTTCAAGTGCTGATTGGCTGTACTGAGTTCAATTTATTCATCAGGTTTTGCGAGTATGGCAGAGAGAAGGCATACCCAAGGGCGGATCCAGGGGGAGGGTCGGGGGGGTCGCGACCCCCCTGTCATTCCTGAGGTCAAATGGGCTTCCTGTGGTAAAAATGAGACTGGGATTCCTTTGCCCACAAAATTTACCCCTGAGACCCCCCCTTCAAAAAAACCCTGGATCCGCCCTTGATACCCATATTTCAAAAAACGTTGCAAGTCTCAAAATCCCAACTGCTTTTCTTGATTCATAACACTTTTATTTTTAGCTATACATTGTATAACTGATTTGCATTGTTACTGTGTTTTTAGTCTTCATTGGTTAGATAAGAGCGTCGTTACGCATGCGTACAAATGTTACCGCTATTCGTGGGATTTGATTTCACGAGTTTATACTTTGTGTTTTTAATTTGTATCTGTTTGTTTTTAACCCAGAAAATAACATGTGGGCTGTCTGGGAGTTATTGAGAGCTTTCAGTTCCGAAACAGAAATTCAATATCTTTTAAATTTCGAATTAAGCGAAAAATATCTTTCTTGAGTGATAGCAAAGAACTTGTGTATCTGATTGAAGCAATATTCCAGAAGTGCGGTTCGGCCAAACTAGATAAGTGCGTGCCTAAAGCCTTATTTTTACATGTGGCTTAATTAACATGTTTTTAGATCGCTTTTTTGTTTCTAAATAAATTACAAGGACGACTATCAAAAGGAACGATGAAAACGTGGTTATAGCTAATTAAAGACAGTAAAAGCTACAAGAATTAATTGGGAAAGGATATGTGTATATAGCAAAAAGCAACAGGAAAATGAGCTAGGAAAAAGCAGGATTTGTGAAACACCGTAAAATAGTTTTAGAGGAGAAAATATACTTACTAAAATGACGCAAGGACAAAACAAACCACACGTGACTACGATAACTAAAGGAATTTTTCATATAAATATGGCCAGTCGTTCGTAAGAGGATTATTTAGTACAATCGGTAAAGGAAACTAAAAGAAAAGAAAAGCAAGGAAAAGAAAAGAAGGAAGAAGAAAAGGAAAACGTAATTTTGTGGTTTATAACTGAACGAGAAAGGATGCACTTGCACGTCAGGTTATACTCTATGTATTCATAGTTCTTGCTCTAAAGTTCTAGCTTCTTCATTGTTTCTTCCACAAACCACACATTCAGTTTACGAGCTTAGTACTTTGTACCTTTCTTCAAACAAAGATTTTGTCTGCTGAGTTGGTTGGTTCTCTTTCTGCCTTCAAGGGCCGGGTTTTTCCCACGCTTTGGCGGTTCATCCTCCCTCCTCTCAAATCAACCCTATCTAATTCATAGTTCTTAGAGCTGTGCTCTGGGGTCATGCATGGACTGTATAGCAGCTGCCAGAGGCGCGTTATTTGAATGCTTTCAGTTCCACCCCGTTAAGCTTCGCCACCGGCTGCTGTGCTTGCGCTGGTGACTAGCGATAAAACTTTTGTTTACTATATGGCGACAAGGAACTTAAGGAGTTGCCTTAAAGATACGGCAAATAATGACCAAAGGTTCTAAAACCGAAAGAAAAGCGCTCTTTAAAATTTTCATACGAAGTATCCTAATACATCGATATATACCACTAGAAATAACACAAAAATACTTAGTTTTATTCACCAGCGACAGTCTTATTCTGCTTACCAATAAACCGTTTTAAAAACTCCAAATTCACAAACCCTTTCTACTGATTTCTAAATTTGTACCAAGGTCTTCATACTGACTGTTTCAAATGTCATCCTCAAAAATAAGCCATGTTGGGCCTTATTACGCATGCGTAAGCGACACACCGCTGCGTTGTGCTCGCAGGCTCAAGACCGTGGTATTTCCGTAGCTTTCTATTAGCAATGCAAAGCTCTTACAAGAGCCATTAACTAATAAAACCTTCTTGACGTAAAATTATAATGCAGGGATTTAGCACTTCAGTGGATGACGAGTTAAGCGTTCAAGTGTTCCACCTATATCCCCTTAAAGACCTGTTTCCATGGCCACGACAGAAGAAAACACGGAAAACTGTCTATCGGTGATATTCGCTCAAGTCAGAAACGACAAACATCCTCACGCAGAGCGTACTTATAGGTGTTTTAGAAATGTATGATAAAATGAAGTGCTTTAACCCCGAGTAGGTGCTGATGTAGTCTAGATATTTTTTTCATTAAATCAATAGATGCTTTATCAGAAAGTATCGATAGCATTGGATATATACTCTCGTACTTCAAATCTATCCTAACCATATTCTCTAGCTAGAAGATTCTTATCCCTTAATGATCAAGATCTGGGAAGTTTCTACTGACAAGAGACAAAGATAAACCAGCTAATGCCGACCTAAGTACTCCTCCTTAATAGATATTGATAGTTCCAGTAACTACCAACCATCTCAACGATTTCTGCTCAATATTACTTGTGAGTCTCTCGTGTCGAAGCAGTTAAGCTTGGCTGTAAGAAGTAATTTGAGAGCCGTTGAGATGTAAAAAAGAAATCCCTTTTGAAGTGGGGCAAAGGCCTATGCAAATCTAAAGCTAAACCGAGCAAGACTAAATTATAAAAAAAGGAAAGCTGTTGGACATATTTAGTCATTCTTGTAATTAATTGGGTTGTTTTTTTATAGCAAAGCGGATCATGGCGTAGCTCAGGGGGTATCGTTTTAGCGCGATGTTTCACGGCTAATTCCTCAATTGGCTCGACGGATGATAAGAGCTGAACTAAATCAATGGGCTAAACAATAGGTGTTTCTTATCTCGTTGACTTTGAAATTAAAGCTACGACGACATATAATAAGCATGGAAGAAACTAGGAGTACTGAAGCATTGGGTCAGACATCGGATTCTTGCAGCCGAAGCAAAGTCAGCATTATATAGTCTTAGCTCAACTCATGCAACGTATCTTTTAAGATAAATAACACATTTATCACGAAAGAGAACTATGATTATTATATATTCTGTTATAGACGAGTTGAAAACGAAGATATAATGATATCGCATTGTATCGGATATTATCAGAGCTGCGCAAGGAAACCATGCGAAGCTAGTCGTATAAGAGATTGTTGGCTTGCCATTTTGTCTGGTCTCAATGACGTCCGCACTCAATGCCTTAAGCCTTTTTGAAAAAGAAAATTCGAGAAAAAAACTTAAAAGCCGAAATCCCTTCAAAAATGGTTACAAGTAAAGTTTTGAGGGATATTGAATGAGATAGCAGAATGCAATATTAAAGCATTACCGACGGATTGTCAGTGGCGTGGTTGTATAATGTCAAGTACCAACTCAATGTCGACTGCGGTTTTTTAATATATGTATGGGTTTTTTTTTTGCCCTGTATACTACCCTTCCGTTAGTAAAAAACTCCTGACATAAGAAGCTGTAAAATAACTATGAATGTCATTATCTGTGCTTGGCCTAGTGTTATTGACCTCGAGTCACTAAAACTTTATCTTTTTAATGCAGTTGAAATAGGGCTACAAGCCGACTTCTCGATATGAACTCAGATATTACCCGAAAATACTAAAATCTCTAACACAGTTCTTCAAAATGCATTCATTTGATAGATCTTAAGTCGATAATGTCATTTTGAAATAGTTTTTGTACAACACGGCAAATAGCGGTGAATCTTTTTGAAACCGTTCGGCTCGAAGCCGTGTCTGTAACATCTAGAGATAAAAAATATAGTAGAAACGATAGATATCTCTTTAATCGGTTGGCGTTACTCGTTATCTACTTCTCTTCCTACGGTACATAATTTAAAAAATCCAATCCGTCCAACGGAAAGAATCGTTTTTTGGCTTTGCTTTAAAAATTGGATAATCTAATCTTGGTCTGAGACACCGAGAGCTTTGGACTAGTCCGTCTACACATGTTCGACAGGTCGCACTCAGCGGGAGAAATTTAAAATTTTATTTCCTCAAATTCAGTTGTAAATCAATCTCTAAAGAATGCTGCTTTTATATCTTGTAAAATTAAAAATGTTCAAAATGGTTCCAACTTTCTGCAAAACAAACAATTCAAAACATGCAATTAAGATTTTGTCGGGAAAATGAGATGAATATGATAACTGTCAAAATAGGAGTTTAATTTTGGTTTTCATGCTTTTGGATTGCAGTTGACAACAGGAAAGAAGGTGTATTTCTCGAATTTTTAATCTTCAATGTTAGTGATCCTTCTTTTTATATGTTTACTCTTGAAAAATTTAGCGAGCGGTGTCCTCTCAGAGAATGACATTTGCCTCATTTTATCAATCCTTTCATCGATTACTTATAGTATAGTTTAATGTCGTGAGGAATTGCTCGGAATTTGTCCAAAAACAAACACAACTGTTCGTCATTTCCCAACATACTTCTGAATCATACTCTTCTCCTTAAATAATACATTTATCATGGCAAATAACATAATTTAATGTATTTTCTTCTTATTTTTGTTTTAGCTATAATAATGTGGTTAATTCATTAATTCCTCTTTTCTCAACCCTATAGATTTCGGATTGCAGATTACTGAGTGAGATTTTTCACTTTTCAAGCAATCGTACTTATTTTCCATTATACAGCTGAAAAGAAAAATCCTTATCAATTTTGAGAGCCATTTTCAAGTATTCTTTATTAGTAATCAAGTTTGTTTTCATTTTATTTTTTATTTTCACGGCGAAAAAACTCTGGCTAATAACTGTTTCAATGTTTTGCTTTCAATTTAATATTATTTGTTTGGGAAAAAAATATTCCCCATGAAGTTAAAACTTTGCAGTAACTCGAAACTTTGTCAAATGTTGAGGTTTTCAGCTTTTCCTAACTGTATGTAATTCTTATAAGACAATATACCATTAATAAGAGTTATGATTCAGTACTCGATATTTTTCTAAAGGCCTACTCGAAGGTCTGTTCCTTTATCAATTATTTTATTTTTTTCCTTTTATGCTTTTTCCTGTTTTTCATTGAGTCTCCTGACGCCTGTGAAATACTTGGTCAGCCCTTCAAAGCGTCGTTTTTCCTTCCTTCTTTTCCTTCATTCTTTTTGTCGGGAATTAATTTTTTCATACAAAGTACGGTATTTTCATAAGCTATCGAATCTGCTTTCTTCTTCCACGACAGTAAGGAATGTAGCCTTTGTTGTTCTCATACTTTCATGATTGTATCGAAGCTGTTGGGGCCTTCTCGTGTTTTTAAAGCGTTTGCATGGTAAAATTGCTTTGAGCTCTCGTTGGAAGTCAAGCTTCATAAATGTATAGAGAAAGGGGTTTACCAATGATGACAGCATTATACAGAAGTTGGAAACCACGGCTAGTGGATAAGGAACGATATCAAACCTGCCAGCCACGTAAGTAAAGGTCATGTAAATAACTGGAACCCAACAAACTGCAAATATGGCAAGAATGATGAAAAACATTTTGACTGATTTGGATTCTCTTCGGCTTCTTCTTGCTTCAACAAGACGAGTTCTCGTGGCGTGGAGGTTACGCAAAAGCTTGCCATGTCTGCGAAGCCTCATAAAGATGAACGTGTACACAAATAGAATGAAGATCAATGGAAGAATAAGGAAGAGAACCACGGCACAAGACAAATAGACTTTATGAACGAGGCTTTCAGCATTTGCACCCCACATCACTGGAATAATAGATGTTACCATCGATACTACCCAAACAGCGCAAACCAGACGGACAAAAGAGGTCTCTATCCTAGATCTGTAAGCCAAGGGCCTGACGACCGCAAGATACCTATCGAATGCAACAGCGCTGAGATTTAAGGTACTGGATACAATTACCATCATAGAAATATGTCCACCGATCACCGAATCGGGAATTAAGACCGTCGTTGGCATGAAAATCCCGCCGCTAAGAATATCCGAAACGGCGAGAGAAACTACGAAGCCATTAGTGTAGGTTCGTAGTTTTTTACGAGTGATAACGAGCCAGCAAACGGCAGCGTTTGTCACTGCTACCAAGCCTGACAAAATGAGAAGAGCAATATTGTAGTCTGTAGGCTCTTGCATCTTGTCTTGGTGAACTGAATTGAGTTACTGACCAGATAATTGGATCCCAAATGGTGTCCCTTACAAAACGAGCTAAATTCCAAGCAAATATCCGACGCTTTGATATGTAGATCGAAGATCCCTAACGTCTTTTCACAGTGAAGTTGAAATTGATAATGGTTTCTATACGCGACACCCTATCGCATTCGATTGAAGCACCACTTTGGAAGATACACGCTTCTAGTTACGGATGCCTCATTTTATCGTGTTGTGTCTTCCACATCTACCACTGCCGAACAACTGAGTGACTACCTAAAATCAGCGTTGCAAATTTATATTCATAGGAAGTTTGAGTTATCGCTCATTTTTTAAATATCTGTTTATTCGCCGGCTTTTTAATGGAGTGTAGGTCCCTGGCGGACCGCTTTGATACTAATGTAAACACCGTTTCTGATTGGCTGGTTCTGGTAAATTTACACGAAGCGGGAAACCCCTCGTTGCAGCTGCAGTAATGTCCAAAGTAATTCATTCTTCACCATAACTAAGTAACAATTATTTGCGTTAAAAAATATATTTGTGTTGGTTTAAGTCCACCAAACGAAGACATATTTACTTGAAATTTCCCTCCACTTTAGTGTTGTCTTTGTGCTTTTCAAAGGCCATTGCGTTCTTTCATTGGCGTTTTTCAATTGATTTTTCATACAGTTTACGATCCCACGTTTTGAAATTCCGAAGTATTCAAAATTGAATGAAATACGAGAAGAGATAAAATATTTATTAATGAAGTAAGCATCTAAACTACAAAGCCAAATAATGAGATTTTAATTATTTTCTTTGAAATCCAAATTTTTATCTAGAATTACTAAATTACACATGAAAAGGAATCGCTCTAGTCATAATGTTCCTATTCCCGAAGGAAGCTCATCTCAATTTCCAGAGAAAATCTTTGTACTACATCGATGTTGTACTATTATACTCCGCTTGAACTTCCGCTTAATAAAAATGATTACAGTGTTTTTATCTGTTAAAAAAATATTGCAAGATAGCGTACAATTTATACTTTTAATCATGACTCAATTTTTTGCAAAACCTGCTCAAAATTTTTCAGTGCAACCACTTGTAATCTTAACTTCTGTGCATTATGTACGTTTGTACACAAAAATGATGACTATTTACATGTGGGAGCGATATTTATGACCTCCTGGTATTACGTCTGACAAGAACTCTGTTGTGCAAGAACTCATTATGCATCGCTTTCAAGGATCAAGTCTTGGCGAGCGAGAAAATGGACAGACGCCAGCGGATATGTTCAAGGCTGTTTGGTTACTTTCTTCCGACTATTCAAGGAGATTGACGTCAACTTCAAACAGATACAAATCGTCACGTATATGGCTTTTATTCGTACAAGAGGATAATAGTATTTTTAAAATATTTGAAATATAACGCGGGCGTGCTGATTGGCTGGCTACCGTGTTTATATCAGAGGACAGAGACACGCTCGCGCAAAATCGCTCAAACGTATTTTATAAAAGCTATATAAAACTGCTGCTTATGTTTTTGTATTGTGATATAAGCACTCTGTGAGCTGAAGAGCACTCTGAAAGGAAGAAAGACACTCTGCTACGCCTCATGTTTCTAAGTTTGATTCTTTCGTGTTCTAAGGCTCTCAGCGTGTTTATATCACGTCACAGTATAGAGATATGCCCTCGCGTTTTGTATTCCTTAAATATATATATCTATAAATGTAATACCAGTACTTTCACTTGGAAGCTTTTGCATTCTATTTTCTTTATATTTTTTGCTTGTTTTTTTTTCCTGCTTCTTATTTCCTTCCATTTTTCTCTTTCTGTCATTAATGAGTTCATTTAGTTATTTTTCCTTTCCCCTTTCTCTCATCCCTTTCATGTTTTCATTTCTTTCTCTGTTTATTTTTCTGTCTCATCTCTCTTTCTATGTCTTCACTACGTCCTCTTGAATGTACTTTCCTCCTTTCTTCCTTTTTGTAGATAAGTGCTCTTCATTAAGATACCTTATAGCTTCACAAGTGTTATAATATATATCCTCGTTGGAACAGCTCATCTTCGATTCTTTTAACTGTATTAGACTCTACAGTTTCTATTACAACCATTCTGATGCTAATGCAACGAATCTGTCGATCACTAAGTATTAAAACCAAGGTTTGACCTTTCCATTATCATCATCGTTAGAAACCTTTTGAATGTTAACTCTCTGGTTGATTGTTATCTTCTTCGCGATAGTTTTCATGGTCATGACTGTCGGGTTGTCCTGAGACACGCTCAAAAGATAGTGGATACAATCAAGAAAGACGAAAACTTGCTATTAAATTCTATATATTTTTTCTATCGGTCTAAAATCAAACCCAACACGTTAAAATTTTTTTTTGCCTGCGTGTAGAACAGTTGTTACACAAAAACCAAATATCTCCTATTCTCAGTTTTTTCATATCATTTTTTGTATTCTTATCTTTTTCTCTTCGAAGTCGAAATCAAAAACAAGAATATCTAATAATGAACGATTTCTCTGTTTATCCTTTAGACTTCGTTTGTGCTAACATTGATTCTGAAAGAAGGGAAACTAAAAATAAATAAAAAATGTGTACTTTTTCACCTGTTATCAAGTCTTCAAATACAAACATTTTTTATCTTTTTTTATTTAGCCATGAATATTACCGGCGTTTTGTTGGTAAAAAATTAAAAACGCAGGAACAAACACGGAAATGTTTTAACAGCTTTTCAGTTTCCGAAATGCATAACACAGTGTTTTGATTATTGAACGCCTCTTTTTATGATTGCTTGAAGATGTTTTTCTCTTTCCTCGACGTAGTTTGGGCTAGACTGAATTTTTTTCTTGTATAATTATCAATATTACATATACCAATATTCTAGATAATTTTTAAAGAAAGTAAATCTTTACTTTTTCGACTCAATTATCTGGGTTTTTGATTACAACGTTCTCTAAGTTGTTTTTACTTTTACTGTTGTTATAAGTTGTAAGGCGTCTGCCAAATGTAATAGAAGTGCAAAGCGCTATGAGCACTGCGTTTGATTGAAACGGCCGCAAAGTGATTTTAGTAGCATGAAATGGAAATATTGAGTGCGAATCTCGGATGTGAAATGGCATTTTCACCTTGATTATATAAGTTGTCAGCCGTTTTCAATCTTGTTATAAGTTCTGATCTTTCTGGTCTTTCGAAGATTATTCGGAAGCAGTACTGAATTCTAACTGAGCGGTGGCAATCTAAATTTTATAAAAATCATAGCCATTACGATTAAAATCGAAATTCAGATTATAATGACCACCTACCTTACAACACCAGGATGACCTACCTTACACCACCAGGATGACCTACC